TAAAGATGTACACAAAGCGTTCATGAGTTTGTATGATCCTCAAAAAATGGACTCCGAGGACTATTCAGTGACAGGAATCTTCTCAGAGATTCCACCAAACCGCACATGTGCAGACCTCGATATGCTTCCCTTGACCAGATGTAAATGTGAAGGTTTTGATGAAGAATTTGAGGTCAAAGAAAATGCAGATGACCACAAGTGGCTGGCAGAATTTGCAGTTGGACATATAAATAATGCAATACAAAGGCAACATAGGGAAGGTAAGATGTAAAAATAATGTCCGTGAGAAAACCAGAAGGAACTAAGCAGGAAGGGTGGGGAGGGGGAAGGGGTGATACTGCTTTAATAAGTGATTAGACTTAAACTGTATATTTGCCTTAGCTTAGAGAACTTAAGTGATGACCTAACTACCCATGTATAAATCATAACGAATAATGGTTGCTCAGTAGAGATCTTTAATGTGTCAGTGCTGCAATTTGAGCATAACCACCCTCTGCCCGTATTTCGCCACGGACATTCTCGTAAATGTTGCGGCTTGTTTTCAAGTAAGAGTGTTCAATCGTTGCCGATGGAGACCTAAGCACAACTAGACTTCTCTCCTCTCTTTTCAGGTGGTGCTAACTCATCTGAAAGTTTTGGCTATGGAAACTGTGAACGCTTAGTTGGAAAATCGTTTTCAAAAGTGATCAAACGTTTTCGAAGAGAATTTATCGTAACGAGTATGGACATTCACGTGTTTCCCCCAACCGGATATAATGAGGATGAAGTGTTTAGAGTCTCTGTCAAACAGTTCGCTGAACCGAAAGACGGAGTATTTTTTATAAATTCCATAAGAGTGACGACTTACAGCAAGTTTGCGCCTTGCGCCGACAAGTCAGTCGACATCAAGCTTTGCACATGCACCAAACATCAAACCTCTGACCTCACTAAGAGAGGAGTGTTGTTTGAGAATGGTGTTCCGAGGAAAATGTTTGGTTCGGAAACAATTGTAAAGGATCTGGACTCCAACTGTTTGTTATTCTTGAGACGAGATTATAGAACGTTCTCTTTTGTATTAGAAGTAGCCAATGTTTGCACAGATATCACTTATAAATTTACTATGACAGGCTCAACGGATCAAAGGGTTTTCACCAATACTTTGCCAATCTCTCTTGAGTTACCTCCCAAAACCTTTCATTTTCTAACATCTGTTTCCAAGTATGTCGTAAAGGTAGATAGCGACCTTAATCTAAAAGCAAGCATACAAGTTAAAAATGAGGAATCGGATACCTTTGACAGTTTAGGGACTATTGGGGTTTCCTAACAGTTTAAATGCGGTTTGGTGGAAAATTGTGTTCTTTTTTTTTCGGATTGATTTTATTTATTCATATGTTCTCATCTCAGTTGCATGCCCAAGAGAGTTTGTGTAACAAAACAGATAATTATCAATAAGTTTTTTGGTAAGCATTGTTGTAGGAGAGTCTCTATTTAAGTGTTGAAGAATGAAGATCCACAGAGGAAATGAAAAATGACTCATAGTACGCGGAAACTAACAAAATATACCAATAACTGGTAAACTTAAAACATAAAATTGAAATGTGAGGTGAATTCTCTATTTAAATGAATGCCATAAAAAAGATCATAAATTTGTCATCAATTTCACTCCCTGAGATGTCTTGCTGAAGGGAAGTCACTGGAAAGACGCTAGAAATTTTAGAAGTTTCTTAACTCGTGCCCAGTCTTACTTTAACAATTACAAAATACTGAAAATAATGAAAATCACATCAGTATAAAAGACTATAAACAATCATGTGCAGAGCCTAATAACAAATTCCTATTTTGGTGCTTAGCGATAAATAAACGGTACAAGGTTAAATTTTTCTACCAGACTTCTAAAAGTATTCACATTACCAGCAATTCTAGCATTGCATGGTAAAGTATTCCAAAGGTGGCTGGCTGGGATGCAAAGGAATTAAGACACACTTGCTATTAAAAGAATATTGTTCAAGCTTAGTGCCTGAGCAATTGACTGTACGAAGTTTAAAGAAACTTTAATGTAACTAGGACCATTCCCATTGAAACTTTTAAAAAGTAGGATCAAAACATGAAAAAACCTCCTTTGTTCTGGTATACGCGTGTTAATTAATTTACGAATATCATCGTACGAAGTGGACTTAGGTAAACCTAATAACGTTCTGAAAATATAGTACTTTTAATTGAATCATTACATGCATTGGAATAAAACGTCTAATTCTACGTAAAGCGTTTGTCTTAGCACATGCCTTATTAAGCTGCGTTTTTAAATGCTCCTCAAAGGTCAGGTTCGAGTCAATGATAACTCCTAGTATCTTTAGAGAGTCCTTTATTTCCACAGGAGTATCGCCTAACAAAATTTCGTACTTATAAGTGTTTGTTCCGGCGACAAGAGCTTGAGTTTTTCACAGTATTTATTGATATATGATTTACTGTAGCCCATTCTATAATAGCGTTAAGTTCCTTGGTAATGGTATGATTCAAAACCATAGGCGAGTGATCTGCGTAGTATTTAGTTGTATCATCAGCATATAAGCGGAGAGACACAGCGGAGATGAAATCGTTCAATTCATTGATAAAAATATTAAATAGGAGGGGTCCAAATAGGGATCTTTAAGGTACACCAGCTGTGATTGGTTTCCACACAGAAAAAAACGTTGTCGAGTCGAACTCTTCGGCGAAGACCAAGCAAATAAGACTTCATAAGATTAATGGCATCTGTGTCAAACCAAGAAGCCTTAAGCTTTGCAATCAGCAAACTATGGGGGATAGAGTCGAAGGCCTCGCTGAGGTTGATGGCTATGGCAACAATACCCTGTCTGTCATCAAGGCCTGCACGCCAATCATCTGAATGCAGTCTCAGGCTTTGGAAAACTCAACTTCCGCATTCTCTTAGCCTGTGAAGCTGGTGGTTTCGCGTGTGTCAAGCGAGAGGCTTGGGTGCACACTAAACGATGAGGCACACCTCTCTGCTTATAAAACGGTGAGATGCACATTATATCAGCCTAGAGCTCTGAAAGGGCCACCCTGCCTGTGTTATCAACAGCATTCTCGTATCTTGATAAGCTTTGTGTTCGAAAAGTCTCTAGTTTTCCTTTTCCATACTTTTGTCTCCATTCACAGATTTCAATGAATTGTCTAAATTGTTTTCGCTTAATTTGCAAGACAATGGTTGTTTCTTATGTTTTCCTTAGTAATTTATGCGCAGGAAATCGGCGCACTAACGGTCAGAAGTGATCCCCTCGCTCCTACCCTACACTTAGCCGCTGTGTTCAGGCTGAGCCAAATTACTGACAGATTACAAACAGATTCATGTAAAAGCCAGGTAAATTTACTAACTACATATTTACTTATTTAAATGCGCGGAAGACAAACTTCTTACCCAGACTTAAGGCGGTTAATGTCCCTCAGATCTGAACTTGAAGTAAGACTGGAGGCGAGTTTCTAGACTCCAACAATTTGTGTCTTTATAACGACTTCCTGTTATCAAAACATCTCGGGCAGAAAAACTAATGACAGATTTATGACTTTAATTTGGTATTCATTTAAACAGAGAATTCATTTCACATTTTATCGCTATCCTTCAACGTTTATCAATTTCTACCTTCCATTATGAATGACATATTTATTTGCTCTGTCATCACTTCTATTTAATACTTAAATAGAAATTCTCTTACAATAATGCTTACTATACTACGAGTCAAAAATAACCGAATTAAAAAAATATATGTCGTGTCGTACAAACTCTCTAGGACATAGGACTCAGGTGTGTACATAAAAAAAAATCAAATAGAATCAAACAGCTGTAAGACTATCATCTATTTCTGCAGCATTTTAATTAAACTCAACTTATCAAGGAATATCTGCAACAAATATCAATAAAAACAACACCAAATTTCCGGTTAACTGCATGCTAACTGTTACAAAACCCGAGCAGTTCTTAAAAAGTGGAAGGTATTCGATTCCCCGTTTTTAACATGTATGCTTGCTTTTAGATTAAGGTCGCTATCTACCTTTACGACATACTTGGAAACAGATGTTAGAAAATGAAAGGTTTTGGGTGGTAACTCAAGAGAGATTGGCAAAGTCTTGGTGAAAACCCTTTGATCCGTTGAGCCTGTCATGCTAAATCTATAAGTGATATCTGTGCAAACGTTGGCTACTTCTAACGCAAAAGCAAACGTTCCGTAATCTCGTCTTAAGAACAACAAACAGTTGGAGTCCAGATCCTTTACAATTGTTTCCGAACCAAACATTTTC